AGACCACTGAGCCATCTCGCCAGCCCCGGAGGAGCATTTAGAACATTTAAAAAAGATTTTTGATATGGAAAAGTATCATAGTGGGGGGGTACCAATAGAATCAGTAGAAGACAAAGTTGAAAGCCAAGCATGATGGTGCAGGTCTGCAATCCAAGGTATGTTAGAGGCTGAGACAAGAAAATCTCAAGGCCAGCCTGGGCTACCGAGTCCAAGGTCAGCCTACACTACTTTGTGGGACCCACTCTCAAAAAAAAAAAAGGTATAGCTTAGTGTGGCACTAGCATAGGTGAGATGTCAGGGTTAAATTCCCAGTACCCTCTCCTCAAAAAAAGTCATTCAAAAAAATTAATAAAATAACAGACAGAAAAACAGGAGAGAAAAAATAAAGTGGAAGGTAAGTACAGGAAGTCTAATATCTGCCTAGAAATTCCAGAGAAAAAAATTGTGTGTTAGGGAAAAAACAAAACACAGAAGGCAGTTGTTAAATAAATGGATTTCTCAGGACAACAGAATGTAAGGTTCAGTGTCAAGCACACAGGATGAAAATATACCCTTGCCAAGCAAGACACATAATCAGTGCCACCTGAAAAAAACAAAGATTCTAAGAGAAAAAAGAAAAGAAAAAAATTGGCCACATAGAACTGCTAGAAGAACACAGACTTAAGACTTATGGTATGTCTTATGGTATGTCCACAATACTAACCAAATACATAAAGACATTTCTTGGGTATGAAGGTCTCACTTTACCTGCCACATACATTTTATAGAGAATCTATAAAAGTATGCATACCACATAGAATAAAAAAGGGAACAGAGAACATGAAATCCAACCCAAGAGCAGAGAACCACCAGGATGGCCTATGAACCAGGCCCTGGGTCACCAGGTCAGCCTGGAGCAGGAGCCAGGGCTCCGAGTCCAGTAACAGCTCCTGACCAGAGGGGTCTCACATGGCTGAGACCAGAAACACGCTGTACTGTTAACACAAATAGTTTACATAGGAGCTTCATGACTTTCTGCAAATCGTTCTTAGCTTTTGTTTGCTAAAGCTAAAATGCAGAAATCTGGCAAATTTAAGGAATCCCACAGTTGTATGCTGATACACTCAAGGCTGATAATGTAGGGGCCTTGGGCCAACCAAATAGCTCAGCAGATTAAAGTGCCTGCAAGCAGGCACAGGGGCTGGAGGTTCAATCCCCAAGTCTGCCTTGCTGGCCTCACCCCTGGGCCATGCTGAGATGGTGACTGAGACTGGGTATGGTGGCATGCACCTGTAATCCCAGCACTTGGGAGACTGTAAACGGGAGAATCACTATGAGTCCCATCTAGTAGTGAGACCCTGAGCACCCTGCAGACCCTTCCCTAAAATACAGAAGAAAAAAAAAATGTAGGGGCCTTTCCAGTAGGTACGTTTTGCCACTTTTTGACTTACATATTTCAAGTAGTACTTTTTCAAATATGAAAAATTTCTGAATTTCAAAAACTGGAATTAAAAATGTGCTTAGGTAGCATGTAGATGTTTCGTGGAACTTATATAATTAAGTTTATATATAACATGTTTATATATAATAACATGTTTATATATAACTTGTTTTATAACAATTATAATATATAATTATGACATAACATATTGTTATATCTGTAATATATAAATATGCTTCCTGTAAGTTCTAAGAGTTTGTAACATAAGGATGGGAAGATAGCTCAGCAGTCTAAGCATCTGCTGGCAAGTGCAAGGTCCAGAGTTCAATCCCCAGTCCCATGTGCTGTGCTGGCCGCAAAACAGGGTGTGGTGGCACATGCCTGTAATCCCAGCACTGGGGAGGCTGAGACAGGAGGAGCACGAGTCTGAACTGCATAGCTAGACAATGTACCAAAAAAGTTTGTGATATTTGTTTTGGTGGTGGTGGTGGTGCTGAGGATGAAGCCAGGTAAGCACTCTACCACTGAGTTACATCCCTAGCTCTGGAAAATGCATACTGTGGGTAGCACAGTTTGAAAGTTATGAGCCAAGTACTTCTACGAGAAACTGCTTCCTATGCCACCAACCTAGCACTCCCACATCTAGTTGTCTGTTCACAAAGTAGACACATACACAGGCTGGGGGCATGTCCATTTTGTGTCAATCCACGTGTCCTCTGTAACCAGTATTTGGGAAAATATCTGGACAATTGAGAATCTCTGCTTCGGGAGACCCTGCCACTATAAAAAAAACTTAAAAAAAAAAATTACCAAACACCACTGTTATATCATTATTATTCTTTTTTGAGACAGGATTTCACCTTGCAGTGCAGGCTGGCCTTGAACTCACTTTGTAGCCCAGGCTGGCCTCAAATTCCAAATTCTCAGTGATCCTCCTGCTTTAGCCTCCCTCCCTAGTGCTGGGATTACAGATGTGTGCCACCATGCCCTGCTTCATTTAATTTTTTTAAATTTTTATTTGTGTGTGTGTGTGTGTGTGTGTGTCCAGCTCAGCCCACCAGGGGGCGGGGCTGGCTGGCATGTGGTGCTGGGGGATTGAACCGTGGTCCCTGTGCTTTGCTAAGCTTGTTCTAAGTAGGTGCTTTAGACCACTGAGCCATCTCACCAGCCCCTGCTTCATTTAATTTTTAAGGTCTATGATTCTACACCAAAAGTATTAATATTTTAACATTAATACATAGACCACAGGTCTATCAAAAATTTAAAACTTCTGTGACATTCCACTCAGAAGGCAGATAAACCACAAAGGTCTTTCCTGAGGAAGGTGCAAACGGAATGTGGAACACAAATTCTGAAGACAAGGAGGTTTAATCTCCTACTTTTCCCCAAATCGTTTTGGGTGAAGAATTGCTCACGTAACTTTCCAAATTATCTTGCTGAGATTTGCTACCATGATATAGGAGTGATGAACATTTGGCACTTAGCACGATGGCTGCACTAGCCCTATCCACCCTGTGGGACAGATAGGATGGGGCCTCAGCAGCACACGTCATTTATTAGAGAAATCACGCACATGCTTTTTGCCAGAACCCTCCAAGCCTTAACTTTTTTTTTTGGCACCGGGGAGCAAACTCAGGACTTTGTGTTTGCCAGACAGGCACTTATGCCTCTGGCCTTTCTCTCTATCCCCTAACAACTTCTAAATAGCTAAAATCCAATGAAAGCATATAGGCATCATACCCAGAATTATAAACACACCCTGTTCACAAGTCTTTAGTTTCACTATATTACTTTTTTATTTTAGGGGTCTAGAGGGTGTTCAGGGTCTCACTACTAGATCAGATTGGTTGTGATCCGCCTATTTACAGCCTCCCAAGAGCTGGGATTACAGGCACACGCCACCACGCCCAGTCTCAATTGCCCTCTCAGTGTGCCCCGGGGGTGGGGCCGGCACAGCAGGTCTGGGGATCGAACTCCTAAACCCCTGAGTCTGCTTGCAGGTACTTTAATCCGCTGAGCTATTTAGCAGGCCCTGTAATAGTACTCTTAGGACAGTCAAGTACTGCTGTTAAAAACCAGCAGAGTAAACACAAAGGACATCTGCACAAGGCAGAGAATTCAGTTCTTAGACATAAAACTGGCTTTTAGGTCCAGATATTATCTAGTGTTTGATTCTAAGTATTATTCTGAAATTAGTTATACTCACCCAGTCTAGTATCTACTAGTAGTACTTAATGTAAAAACTAAAAACCTCAAACTATTTATTACCTGCTTCACTCCAACCTTGGCTAGTAGCATCATGAGACTGTGTATCCTAACAGTTCTGGGAAAACTTCTAGTTATAAGGGGACACCTTGCTATGGAGGTATTAAAGCTCAAAATGAACCTTGAATTAGATCCAGTGATGAATCAGATACTATGGTGGTTTTTTTTTTTTTTAATTTATGCATGTATGTGTGTGTGTGTGTGGCCAGCTCAGCTCAGCCCACCAGGGGGCAGGGCTGGCTGGCATGTGGTGCTCGGGGATTGAACCGCAGTCCCTCTGCTTTAGCTAAGCTTGTTTTAAATAGGTGCTTTAGACCACTGAGCCATCTCACCAGCCCTATGGTGGTTCTTAATAGTGGAAAAAATTTAAGGCAAGTGGTACCTCTAATAGAGCCAATCAAATATTAAAATGGCATGGTGCAAATGGTTCATAGCAAAACTTTTTTTTTCATCATATGGGTAAAACTACTCAGTTAAGAGAGAACAGATGTAGCTGGAGACCATAGTTAGGCTGCACGGAAGGAAGCAGTTCTCTTGAAGATCTGTAGGAGGAAAAGAACATCTGGCAACTCGTGGCTTGCACTTATCCCTAGCAAAGATAAATATTTCCACAAGAGATACAACTATAAGAAAGCTATGATGTCACTCTAAAAAGGTATCGAAGTCATGGAAAGGAAGCATCATATGCTGACTTAACAGCTATTTTTTAACCCAAGAATCTATTCATGTAAATACCACAGAAAATTCACCCCCTTTAAAAAAAGGTCATGCAGAAGTATTGGAGTAATAATAGAAATGCACACACCCAGAGCAAGCAAAAATACGGTTAAAAAAAATGCCAAACAATTTCACTACGAAATGCATGGATTTGCATGATTTAGTATTTATTTCGTATTACCCAGACTCAATTTCTCTGATAAATCTCTACTATAAATTTTTAGAATATCTATTTTTAAAAATTATCTTTTTAAGCCATACAATCTGTACTTGCATATCCAAATGTAAACTATTCTGCTTTGTACCATGAAGCAAAAATACTAAAAGATTAAAAATACAATTTTTTCAAATCTTAAGTTGCAGTCTAAAAAAATGATGTATCTCCTCAAATGTTTTGGACTAGAGCACTAACTTGTATTAACATAATCTGGATTTTCAGATGCAAATACAAGTCCATGGTTGGTCATAAAGAGCAATGAGGTTGCGAAGATTCTCACAAACTTGCTATCAAATCCCAAGTTAAATTACTTCCAGAACTTGGACCATAATATACAAAATGGCTTAAGTCTTCTTAGTTTTGACCCTGGAAATAAGACTCTAAAATTTGAAACTGTGCTTTTGATGTGCTTTACATGGACAAACTGACTTTACAATCAATATTCTGTAAGAGAGCAGGTAGTTCTAACACAGAAGAAACTGTGTAATGTGGAATAGGGGACGTCAGTGGCATGACTCCACTCTTGTTTATCCACACTGTAGCTTTCAGCCCTGCATTGAGACCTCCTTGTATATCAGTCTCCAGCGTGTCACCAACCATCACACAGTCCCCAGGCTGTACTCCAAGGAGATCACAACAGTGATAAAATATGGAAGGTGCTGGCTTCTCCTCCTTCTGCTCTCCGCCTACAACAATAGCGTCAAAGTAGGACTGACAGGCACAAGCCTCGATCTTTTCCCGCTGCGTCTGTCTGTCACCATTTGTTAACAAGAGCAGGCGGACCTCTTTGCGAAGTTCTGTGAGCATGGCTTTAACATCTTCTGCCAAGCTCATATGCTGCAGCCGTGTTGATTTCCACAAGAAATAACACTCCTCAGCTAATCTCCTGTTGTCCTTACCGCCTTTTGTTTCCTGGATTGCTTCTTCCCAGTGGGAAGTCCTTAGGTCTGTAATGCACATATTGTAAGGATGAAAGCATTCTTTGCTGAGTTTCACTTGAACTTTCTCACAGATAATTTCTGCTTCTTCTTTAGAGTGGTATTTTGATTGTAATAGCTTTATTACCTAAACAAAGGAAGATACCTCAATTAATGTACTTTGTAGCTAGGCATGGTGTAATTTCAACACTGAGAGGCTGAGGCAGGATTGCAAATTTGAGCCCAGCATGAGCAATTTAGCAAGACTTTATTGCAAAAAAGGGCCAGGGATGCCTCTCAATGTGTATGCACACACACACTCACACATGCACGCAAATACTTTATGTCTCCCCACCACCACCACCCCAGCGGAACTGGGGGTTGAATTAAGGCCTTTGCACTTGCCAGGCAAGCACTTATTCTACTAAGTTAATATACTTTCTGTACTTAACAACCATGCCCCAGGCCAGTAGCTCAGTAGAGTAAGTGCTTGCCTGACAAGCGCAGGATCCTGAGTTCAATCCCCGGTACCGCAAAAAAAAAAAAAAAAAAACCATGCCCCAAGAAGTTGTGGTCCTCTAGTAGCTGAGAAAGTCTGAAGGAGCTCCATCCCCAACTGCTGGCTTACTTTTAAAGGGACCATGATGAGGATCTCCCAACTTCTCTAATAACCAATAACTGGACACCTCTTTTTTTGATGGTTGCTTACGGTGAAAACCAGGACCTCTTCCATGCTAGCCAAGTTCTCTACCATGGAGTTATGCCCCAGTATATCACAGCAGGTACTTTTCAATCCCAGAAAACATGTCACCATCACATCCAAGAAACTGACTTTCCGTAGCTTGCAATGAGACAGGAAGTGCTAAGGGATGTAAGGAATAGGACAGGAGGGAAGGAATCTAATAAAGATGTGCTGTGAGCAGGCTACCAAAGTGTGAGCAGTAGAAGGGGGAAAGACACAGGATTTTCCCTACCAACCCCTTGGGTATGGTATGCATCCAACAGTTTTTGCCTCTTGTTAGTTACAGACTGCTTCTGGGGCAACATTTCAGCCTGTATGCATGAATGCTTCTATAGTCAAATAAAGCCTATAGCCAGAGAAGCCCATGGACCTGCACCATGAAGTCACTGGCAGTAATTCCTATGGCATGAGCGCAAAGTTTCTTCACAGGATGGCTGCAGATGGCCTCTCTAGCCTCATCTGGGCACCTTCCCTGACACGCCTTCCACAGGGTCTGCTGTTAAAGTGAAGGGTCCCATAAGTAAAACTGTGTAACCCTAAATGAAGGGGTGTGGGTGATAAGTGATATTCTACTCACAGCAGTTTAATTTACCTACTGAGAAAGGAAGAGATTAAACATACACATTTTCTTCCCTCAGAGTTTAAGAATTCCTTATAACAAAGAAAAAAGAATTATTTTTAACATTCTTTACTAGAAGTCATGCTAGCTCAAGAAAAATGTACTGGCCCTAAGAGGGTTTTTTTTTTTTTTTTTTTCCTTTTAAAAATTAATTATTTATTTAGTACAGGGTCTCACTATGCAGCTTGGACTTGTAATGATCCTCCTGGCTCAGCCTCCCCAGCACTGGGATTACAGGTGTGCGCCACCACATCCAGTTTCTGGTTTTTTTTTTAAGAATGAAAATTATTTTATTTCTTTATTTTTACTATAATTTTATTTTGAAGAGCAAAAACAAGGGCAAGAAAAGCAAAAACAAAGACAGCACATCCAGTTTCAATGCTGGCTTGGCATGCCTGGAGTGGGGATCGAACCAGGATTCTCACGCTTGCCCAGCAGGCACTTAGACCACTGAGCTATCTCCCCAGCCCCAGCCTTAAGGTGAAGATAAAAACACTGAAAAAGTTTTGCTTTGCAAAGTTAAATTTTAATGAACATAGCAAGGTTTTCCAATCTCTGTGGCTGTGTCTTTTCTAGAAACAGCTATTAAATCGCATTTTTTGGTATGGGGTACTACTGCAGACTGAAATCAACGTCTCACACTGAGCTACATTCCTGGCCTTTTTTTATTATTTTGAGATTGGGCCTTGCTAAATTGTCCAGACTGGGCTTGGATTTGTGATCCTCCTGGCCCAGTCTTCTAAGTAGCTGGATTACAGGCATGAGCACTGCACTTGGCATGCATTTTGGTAATATCAACAACTTTAGGGGAAAAAAAAAATTCCAGTCAGTCACATGGTAGCTCACATAGAAATAATACCTAAATTGAATCAATATACATTATTACAAACTTTCCCAGCCCCTGCATCAAGATTTGAGGGTTTGTTTTGGTTTTTGTTCTTTTTTTTACCAGGAATTGAACTCAGGTCCTTGCACTTGCCTGGCAGGCGCTTAAGCTGCAGAGCTATCTCCCCAGCCTCCCCTGCATCAAGAGAATAAGAAGTTTCCAACTTGGAAGCAGGAGGACATGGAGTAAGGCAGGCTTGAAAATGAAAAAACATTCTGACACCATGAGCGCACAGGGTACCTGTAGGCCTCAAAAGACTTCCTACTATGGTAGAGAGGAAGTATTAATTTCAAAGGTGCTTTCGGCATATATACCAAAAAAAAAAAAAAAAAGAAAGAAACACTATCTTCTATTTCCTAATCATAGAACTAAAGTTACTGTCAAAAATATTTGTTTAGCTACATTAATTTTAAAGGATTTTTCAAGAGCTAGTTTGGGAGCCACATATTACCTAGTAACACTTTATGTATTTTCTCAATAATGATCATTCAGATGTGAAGGGGCTGAATTAAGTATGTGAGTAACTGCACACAGCCCAGCAACAAAAGCAGCCCTTCTGTTCTTTCTCTAGTTCAGGTTTTTGCTCACATACTTGAGGCAAAATTTGACGAGCCTATCTAAAAACTGCAGTTCCTTCCCCTGTCTACTTTTTCTAACATACCTGAAAATATATTTAGGGCTGCCAAATAGCTCAGAGAATTAAAGAGCCTGCAAGCAGGAGCAGGGGCCAGGGTTCAATCCCCAGACCAGCCATGCCGGCCCTGCCCCCAGGGCAGGTTGAGATGGCAGTTGAGACTGGGCATGATAGGTACACTTGTAATCTCAGCTCTTGGGAGGCTGTAAACAGGCAGATCACGGAGTCCAGTAGCAAGAACCTGAACACCCTGTGGACCCTTCCCTAAAATATATATATATATATATATATATATATATATTATATTCACTTTCATCCCACTAAAATTCACAAATGTAGAACTCTTTTGCTTTGTTCAGAGAAAAACTAAGTATCTGAAGGATTCCTTTTGTGTACTGACATTGGAAGACAGACCTGAAGAGGGTGGAAATAACTTTCCCAGATGATCAAAAAATAATTAAAACTGATACACTGTCATGACTCCTTTCCAAGCTCAATGAGAAAGTTGATCCTGGGCCAGGGAGATAGCTCAGTGGACTAAGTGCTTGCCTGGCAAGCACAAGGTCCTGAGTTTGATCCCTGGTGCCACCAAAAAAAAAAAAAAAAAAAAAAAAGTTGATCCTTTCTACACTTCTCCACAGATAAATCACTAACATGTTACTTTATTTTACTTTTGTGTTCATTTTAATGAGAAAATAAAATAGCAATGAAACAGTTTCAAAGGTTAGTAGGCCAGTTACAATAATTAATACATTGCACATTGTCTTCATAGTGGTTATTCAGAGGACAAAATGCAGACATATCTTGTTTAAACAATATTAGTACAAACATTTCTTCTCATTGAATTAAGAAAAAGTAGCTGTATATCTATCCTAGTTTGTATATACATATTTTTTTTTTCACTACAAAATGGTCCTTTATTAACATGTTATTTTTGAGCAGAACAATTTTGACTGATGTGATACTCTGGTATGATAAAGTATCCGCATCATCTAATTCTGTTTATTTTACAGGCTACTTATAAAGAGTTGTGTTATGTTTTGTGTCTGGATGTCCCCCCAGAGCCTCATGCAGTCATGGGTAGGGGCAGGCTTTTCAGAGGCAGCTGTATCTACAGTTTGTGACTGGTTCATTGTCTAGTGCTGGGACTGGCGATGTAAGCGCTACACCCACCCTAGAGGTGGCCTGCATACAACATAAGGAAGGAAAAGAGGTTTTGCTCTTTCCTTTTGCTCATGTTGCTTTTGGTATCTTCAGCCACCATGCACAGCTGCTTCTCTGCCATGTGCCGCGCTGCCTTAGAGCCAGCTGATCTGGACTGAAACCTCTACAAAATGTGAGCTAAATAAACTTTTCCTCCTTTAACTCTGGGAATTGGGTATTTTGTCCCAGCAACAAGATATGCAGGGCCAGAGAGATAGCTCAGGAGAATAAGCGTTTGCCTGGCAAGCACAAGGGCCTGAGTTCAATCCCCAGTTCCAGGAAAAAAACAAAACGAACAAACAAACCCCACCCCACACACACAAGATATGCAACTAAGACAAAGTGGTAATAAACTATGACTGGAGATCAGATTTTTGCCCACCAGCCCAGTATTCATTCAATACTTGCTATGAGTCAAAGAAGATAAAACAGCATATTCCCTCCAAGAAGCTCATCTTTTAGTTACAGGCAAATTAATAACACTCTTTGATGTTATATTTAGAGATCTTAACAACAAAGTGTGGTACTAACATAAGTGAGGGTGCAAAGACTGGGGAGAAATACAGTCTTTCAGTTAGAATCTCACTGTTGCCTAGGTAGGTCTTGAATTTCTGGGCTCATATGATCCTGTGATCCTCTTGCCTCAACCTCCCAAGTGAACAATTGTTCTAGAAGTCATCCTGTGGCAAAAATGTGTAGGATGAATTGGACCTGGTCTCACTGGAGAAAAGACCACAGCAACCAACAGTCTAGTTGAGAGATGAGCCCAGATGAAATTCAGACAAGAGAAAGGGGGATATACCATGGCAGGGTGAGGCAGGGAGTGGCAGCAAAGGGGGCTGCTGGTCTGATTCACTGAGTGAACACTGGATGTCACATACTTCCCATGCATTGTACTAAACCTACCTGACATTAATGAGAATATATTTAAATTTTATAATAAGGATTTCAGGACTAGAATAGAGGCACTTTTCATTAAGGCACTTTCAGCTAGATAGTGGGAGAACTATGACTCATTTAATGAGAAGTGAGGCATCAATAAAGGAGGTAAGACAGACTTAAAGAATGGGCACTGTCATTCAACGGTAGTGCAGTAGGCTACTATTGCAGTAGTGTGGGTTGTAACACACACACACACACACACACAGATTCACAATATATAGTGATCCTGGCACTCTAGAAGGCCTGAACGACCTGGAAAATCAATTTCATTCTAGTGGTGAAGGCAGATGATTCCTTGTAAAGATTCAGGAATAAAGAGGTGGGAGACATGGAGACAGTGGGTATAGATTTCTCCTGACCACATGGCTGCCAAGAGAGGCCACGTCTAACACAGGAAGGAGAGTCCAAGGAAGACATTTCTTCCAATTTGTTAAAAGCATAATACTGGGGGCCGGGGAGATGGCTCAGTGGAATAAGTGCTTCCGTGGCAAGCGCAAGGACCTGAGTTCAATCCCCGGTTCCACAAAAAAAAAAAAAAAAAAGGGCACAATACTGACGTGGCACACGCCTGTAATCCCAACACATGGGAGGCTGAGGCTGGAGGATCATTGCAAGTTCAAGGTTCAAAGCCAGACCGGGTGGGGGGGGGGCAGGCTGAACTGCATAGTGAAACTTTTATCTCAAAACAAAAACAAAAATAAATAAAAATAAATTTAAAAACCCAACATCAAGTAAGTATCTGACACAAACATGTATCCCGCGTGGAATGTGCCAAGAAAAAAAGGATGAAGGTGCAGAAGACCCAGGAAGCAAGCTGCACCGGTCGCTCAGGGTCGAGGACTGGCTTTGGAGAGTGGCTTTTCCGCCTCAGAATTCTTCCATCTCTCCTGGAAGCTGAAGGCGGACGAAAGGAAAGCGAAGGAGGCCTCCACGGCGCCCGCAGGAGCAGGAAGGGAAGCCCTCCGGGGGTCTGGGTCCCAGCAGCCGGGAGCAAGGCGCCTCGCCATGACAGATGCCACGTTCGGGGTCAAGAGCGCGCGGCTCTAGGCGAGTCCCACTGCCACGGACCCCGAGCCGCGGGCAGGGACAGCGGGAGGGACCCTGGGGCGAGGGTCCCCCTGGGGCAGGGTTCCGGGGCCGAGGGCCACGACCGAAAGCTCCGGACGACGCTCGGCGGGGCCAGGGCGCGGGGATGCGGGGACGCGGGAGCGCGCGTTACCTCTGACATGCCCCTACGGCTCGCCCCGGCCGTGTCGATGAGTGTGTTGTCCAGGTCGAAGAACACGGCTCTCACGCGGGTCAACCCCATGGCCCAAACGCCCGGCACGACCCACCGCGCCACTCGCGCAGGCGCGAGGCGGCCTGAGGGGAGGGGGCTGCGGAGGGCCCGCGAGGTCAGCTGACCCCGCCCAGCCAAGCGCCTCCGACACCCGCCGCCAGCGCCTCTCGCGAACTCCAGCCAGTTACCGCGTACCTGAGCGCCCAAGAACTGCGAGATCCCGCGAGACTCCGGCGGCTGGGGCCCAGCGCGCATGCGCAGGGCGGAGGGTTCGAATTACCGCCGCGGGGGTCAGCGGCTTCCGCCTTCCTGCGAGCCTTCGTTGGAGTCCCCGCTCTTAGAGTCGGCCGCGGTTCCCTCCCATGCCTAGGGGCGGACTCCAGTGGTGGTCTTCGGAGGTGGTCTTCGGAGTCGTCTTCAGGCCTCTCCGCGGTCCGTCCTCCCGGCCGCCTTGCCCTGGGCCTCACCGGTACGGAGCGCCCTGCGCCCGAGCCGAGGTTTGAGTTAATTTCCGGTGAGCTCGCGCGCCGGAAGTCCTAAACGCGAGTTCCCGCCCGCGCCTGGCTTGGGGCCGGCGCGCGGAGGGTAGCTAATTTTGCTGGACACGGATTATGTTTAAATTGGATAGGATTAATAACTTGGTTAATTATGTTATCCCTGTATTGTAAAAAAAAAAAAAAGTTTATTATTCCTTTACTCTATTTAAATTCTAAACATCTTGTAATTCTGCCTCTAAATACATTGTTTCTAAGTATTTTTAGGTAATTTTATCGAAGTATAATGTGACAAAAATAAGAAGCATAGCCCCAACCCTTTCCAGGAACCCAAGCATGCTACACGGGGCTCCATCCCACCTTTTTAATTTTTTGGTTTGAGACGGGATTTAGTTGCCCAGGTTGGGCCCAAACATGTAATTCTGCTACGTCAGCTTGTGAGGGTTCTGGGTTTACAGATGTTCACCACAACTCTCAGCTAAAGTACAGCTTTTAACTACAAAGTTTGAGCAGTTTTGAGAAATGCAGCCAAGTAACTTGGCACCTCAGCGACAACATTCTAGAAAGTTCTCTCCTGCCCTTTCATGTAAGACATTGACTCAGAAGTATACATTCACGAATTCTCACCAAAATATTAGCAAATAGAATCTGGCAATGTAGGAACGAGAAAATAATATATAGTAAAACCTTGGTTTGCAAGTATAATTCATTCTGGAAATAGGCTTGTAATCCAAAACTTGCACATCAAAGCGAATTTCTCATAAATAATGGAAACTCATGAGTCATTCTACAACCCCAAAACCATATAAAAGGGTTACAAGATTTTAATATAATGCACACTAACAAAGAAAATACAAAGAAAAATAGATTAATTAGTTTGCACTTGACTTTGAAAACCTTTGTGATTTGGTGTGAGGGAGACCAGAAAGGAGGGTTATTGTTTAGACAGCTTTCACTATCACTAATAGAATGACTGCTATTGGTTCAATGGAATCTTTTTCCTTCCTTTCCTTTCCTTTCCTTTTTTTTATTTATTTTGTTTTGGTGCAGGGTGTACAGGATCTCACTACACACATCAGACTCATAGTGAGTCTTCTGTTTTCATCTTCCCAAGCACTGGGATTACAGGTGCGCAGTACCATGTCCAGTCTCAATCGCTGCCATCTCAGCGTGCCCGGGTGGCGGGGCCTGCATGGCTGGCTGGGGATATAACCTCCAACCCCTGGCTTCAGTCCGCTGAGCTATCTGCCTGACCCTGGAATCTTTTTCTTTTCGAGCAACTTTATAAACTTTTTTTTTTTTCATTTGTACTAGAAATTGAACTCAGGACCTAGCACTCCCCAGGCAGACACTGTGCTGCTTGCTGAGCTGCATCTCCAACTCCATGCAACTTTAACAAGGAACCTATCCAAAGCAATGACCTGTGCTTTGGCATCTATTTGAGGATTATGTGGAAATGTGACATTGAATTGTCATTAAATAGATTCATCACTTGCTCTGCTACAGCCTCATCATTTGGTGTTTCTCACATTTTACACATCTACCTAA